ACCTCACCTCCGATTCATGATCTTTAACACCACGATGTCGTGTTTATATTCTTTTAGCTCGTGATCACCTTCGAACTCAATCAGAAGGAAGAAATAAAAAATACCTTCAAACAAGTTTAGTAATGTGCACTGTCCATACAACAAGAATTTGATGGACTTTACGACGCCTACACTGTACATATAGATTTATTGAAGATGTACACTGTACATGGGCAAACAGACAAGGTAAGGTTGGAGGAGGAAAGAAAAGTTTATAGCCCTTATGTGAAAAATGGAAAGGGCTAAAATTCTCTAATAGACGTACACTCACTCAATAATTCCACAGTAGAGATTCAAAAATTCCACCGCCATCATCGGCACCACTGCTTAGCCATGGAAGCGGTGGAGGAGGAGGATCCAACCACCCGTAATCAACTGAGTTGTCAAAAAACACAGCATCATTCTTCAGTTCTAGAGAGTCAAAATATGATCCCAGACTTGGCAATTCAGTTATTTCACACAAATCTTCTGAACTGGTTGACAAATCTACACCAGAATCAGGCGATGAAAAGGAGCAAAGTGAAGATGTAGTAGTTGACGAAGATGGTGGTGATAAGTCAAATTTTTCCATGGCTGCTGCTTTTGCAGCGGCTTCTTGAACGTCACGTGGGCGGAGCGACACCGGCCGCGGTAGTACAGAGGCAAGTTCAGGGAAGTTCAGGATTGCTGAGTTGCCTTTGATGCTTAAGGCTGCTACATCATGAGCCCTGGCTGCCATTTCTGGTGTAGGAAAAGTGCCAAGCCATATACGGGATTTCTTGCGGGGCTCCCGGATTTCAGACACCCATTTGCCCCAGCTGCGCATTCGGACGCCGCGGTACACCGGGTGGTTACTGGCTGCGCCGCCGGCGATGGCGGTGCTTCGAATTCTCTTGATTTTATTGGTGGGTTCTGCAAGATTTTGGGGCTGCTGAGGTTGTGATGATATATGAGATTCAGTACTCATTCTTGACATCAACTAATTGACTTCTATATTTAGTACTTATCAATGTGCGTGTATTTCTTGTACTTCCGTTTGTGCACTTATAATTACATTCACAATGTGCACTAATGGCAGTGCCTATATAGAGAGAGAGAGAGAGAGATGAATCGAGGCTGTAGGTCTTGAAGATGTTGCAAAGTAATGGAAGGAATATATAGGGTATGCAGTTGAGTAATATCAGAGATACAGGTATCCCTAATCAGCTAACCCTCTTATTTTCAATCATCTTATAAGTAGAGAGAGAGAGAGAGAGAGAGAGAGAG